CTATAACACCAAAGCTGAGCTCATTATCTGTAAAATTGACTGAGTTAAAGCTCTTTTATTGTTTGCTAAGTTTGGTTTGCTGTGGGGGCCACCTTGGTGGGGCTCAACCCCAGTCATTAATCAGTTGTAAATGTGCATCTGATGATTACTTTCTGGGAGTTTCATTATAATCCATCCAGTGGTTTAAGAAAAATTTTGCTAACAGACAAACAAGCCAATACAAATGGTTGCCCACTGCCATGAAAGGCGGGGCGACTAAAATGTGCTTTCTCCTTTTGAAACGTATGCAGTCAAAAGTGGACGGCTCTTTTGTACTGAAACGAACTGAGTAATGAGAGAATTATTAGAGCGGAGCTCTTAATGATGCCTTTGAAGAGGATGAATCTTCAAACTGAGTCCTTTATCCCTTTCAATTTCCTGATTTATTATTAAAACACTGACATTTAAAAAAAAAAAAAAAAAGAAGATGTAACCTCTGAAAAATTAAAAGCATGATTTGGGCTCAGTGCTTTGCATATTCTTTTTGAAGGCTGCTCTCCTCAGCAGTTCAAACTTCTCCCACTGACTCAGAGTGTGTTTCTCTTCTTGCTGCTGCCATTGATTTAAATATCAAACATCAATAACAGCCACCTCTTTGGGTCTGTTTGAGCTCCACCATGCTGCGAGAGGAAGGCGGGTGGCATGGGCCAAAGGATCTTAAAACTCTTGAGGCAAAATATTGATGAAATGGAGCCGATGCTCATGACACTGCAGCCAAAGGCTCATGCTAATGCGCTTCAAGTTACGCCGACAGCTGAGATCATTTTATGTATTTGGAGAGCGAGCAGACTGAGCATGAAGTGAACACTCTTTTTTTTTTTTTTTTCAGCTTCACCTTATTAGAGCTCGAGTTTCCTCATAAGCATCGTCAGGCTCTCTTTGGCTTTTATTTACCTCCTGCTTTACATTTACTCAACGCCTAGTCCCTACACGTTTCTGTACTGTGGGCGGATTTATCACAACTCTTCCTTCCCAGAATAATAAACTAACTCCCACTCTATTATACGGTGGCAATTAGCAGCTTTTAACGTTTTGGTAATGAGTCTGGCGGAGATGGTTTAGAAGTTTGGAAGTGTGAGTCACTGATTCGCAGCTTTAAAATGGATTCAAATAATCTGCATGAGTCCAGTGTGAGGGATGGAAAAGTTGGAAACGGAGTTTTATTGTTGTGGGGAGGATAAAAAATGGCATCGCTTTGGCGACTGGAAATTAGCACTTTTATTATGTGTCGGGATCGACTCTCAGCTACTACCATCATCGAATTTTTCCTCAGAAGCTGTAAAATTGTCTGATTTATAAGCAATTTTGTATTTGCTAAGGTTGATCAGATATGGCAGCCATCTTGAATTTGGTTGAGTCCAAAAAAAGTATAGATCATAAACAGACATTCTGAGTTGCATTCAAAATTGTCCAGGGGCTTATGTGATATTATGCTAACAGTACAACATTAAAGTAAGTCATCACATCAGTACCAAAAACTGTCTAAATATATAACAAGGGATATGTAGCAAATATGTACAGATCTGGAACTGAGTAGTTTTGGCCTTTCTCATGCTCATCAAGTTTTTGTTTTTTAGAAGTCATGATTTAGATGAGGGAGTTTGACGTCCTAAGCTTCTTACATCAACTTATTTCCAAGTTTTTAATTACCAGTGTGCAGATTTATTATGACCATGTCAAGTAAAATAATTTCCCATGTACTCAAAACTGTTAACCTACTATTTAAATATTTTTTTTTGTTACTTGTTTGGATGATGTTGACACAGCTTGTGCATGTAGTTTTTCTTTTCTAAACACCATTCTGCAGCTCTGTTTGGTTTAATATTTAAAGTGGAATTTGTTTGTTTTAGTTCCAAACTTAACAACAGTGTTCTCTTTATGTTTGTGTGTTCACCTATGGATGTTGATGTTAAGCAGGAGAAGGCCGAGCACAAAACCCTGTGGAGCTCCTCTGTTGATTATTATAATAAATGAGGTTAATGACTGACAATGTGAAGTCCGGATAGCTAGGTTTACCTGTTACATTCCTGGGGGAGGTTATAAGTGTAGGGCTACAATTTACACATCTTTTCAGATAATTGTTTTCAATTGACACGAATGCTTACACAAATACATAAACACAAATGTAAAACCATTACATCTTAACAGTAAAATAGGTTATACTTTGATATTCAAACACATAGTAATTGAGTAGTACCATCTAATGACCAAACTATAACCCCATGTGGTAAAACTTTGAGCTTCAGGGAAACACACTCAGGCTAATTAGAGGCTAAAAACCAAAGGAAATAATCAGAGAACAAATTTAAATATTTCAAAGCAAAATCATAATTTGCAGTATTGTAATGATTTGGCTAACCATTAAATTTGTGCCGTAGTTTTAAAGCATAACTGGAAATGTGTTCACATATATTTGGTATCATCCATCCATCCATCCATCCATTATCTTTACCCGTTTATTCCATTTTGGGTCACGGGGGTCGCTGGTGCCCATGTCCAGCAATCACTGTGCGAGGGGCGGGGGACACCCTGGACGAGTCGCAAGTCCATCCCAGGGCCACATAGAGACAAACGAGACAAACAACCATTCACTCTCTCACTCACACCTAGGGACAATTTAGAGTTACCAATCAGCCTAACATGCATGTTTTTGGTCTGTGGGAGGAAACCGGAGTACCCGGAGAAAACCCACCCATGCACGGAGAGAACATGCAAACTCCACCCAGGAGGCCCCTGGACCGGGGTTTGAACCAGGGACCTGCTCGCTGAGAGGCAGCAGCTCTACCAGTTGCGCCACCGTGCTGGCCTATTTGGTATCAATCTAATGATAATAAAGAAAGGAAGGACCATCATCAAAATATCAAATCAAACGTTAAAAGACAGGAGAACAGTGGTTATTGCTGTTCCCTCTCATCTGGAAAGTCGCAGGATCCCCTCCAGGCCTGGGGCCTTTCTGGGAGGAGTTACAATGTTCTGTTCCTTTGAAGGACTTATGACCTGTCCAGGTGGACCCCACCTCTCGCACTGTGACTGCAGTGGGTAGACACCAGTTCCCTGCAAGTAGGAAAGGATATGCTGGTAAAGAAGACGGACGGATGGATACCGTATTTTCCGGCGTATAAGTCGCAGGTTTTTTTTTGCATAGATTTGCCAGTCCTGTGACTTATACACCGAAACGTCTTATATATGTTTTTTTAATGCAGTTTTTGACTGACGCTTTAAATGTTCATTCATACTGGCCTGAATCAGTGTAAACATTAACATTTGAAGCTGCTATGGCGTGAGAGGGCCCTCTAGGCTTTTGACAACTACCTGTAGGCGTATATGTTGTTCCTGTACTGCTATCTCCACCGCCCTCCCACCCTGCCAAACATTAACCATTAAATTGCATTTATTAAGGAAAAAGTTTGACTGCACACCTTTGATATAATGTCGAGCAAACAAATAATTGTTTTAAAATTTTAATCTTGTTAAATTTCAAAGAACTGCAACAGCAAGTCCTCCTGTGAGTGCTCCCGCAGCTGCCAATCGATTTTTGGCACAACACCGGCCCACGTTTCGCGGGGGTCAGCGGTGACGCATAATAAACACAACTTATACACCGAAGCAACATAGATTCATTATGCTTTTTTTTGGACTGATGTGACTTATACTCCGGAGTGACTTATACGCCAGAAATTACGGCAGTTGTTATTGCATTTTATTGAATTACAGTTTTACATTTTTCTCCTATTATTGTTTGTAAATTTGGCCCCTAATACAGTTTTACACAGTGCATATGGTTTGGTTTAAGTATTGGGCTCGAGTCCTGTGCATAACTTCCTTGTAATTACTTGTTTTTTGCTTTAATTCATAATATTACCAAAGTATTACCTTCAATTTTTCACTTTGCTTATCTTTTCTCTTGCAAAACGACCAAACATTTAGAGCCGTTTGTTATCACCGATCATTCACCCTGCAGAGGGTGAGTTTATGAAAAATAAAATAATAGTGGTTATTGTTCATCTGGCAACTCTGCAGCTTGGAAACCGTTCCCATGTCTTTCGAACACGGCGATGAAGCTCTGAACAAGCTCTCAACAATGACACGTTTCTACCTGTGATACTGTGCACACTTTTCTACGTCCACCCCCTCAAAAAGACAGTCAAAGCAACAAATGCACCATCATCAGTTGCCCTGCGGAGCTGGATATTAATTATCTCGTGTTCTCCACTCATTTGCCCATGCACTGTAAATGTCACCAATAAGATAAATGGGAAGACAAAACCTCCAACTTGTAGCCTTTCTGCAGCAGGACCTTGTATGAGATGAGATATTAGTTTTGGCCTGGCAGAATGAGTCAAAGGACATTCCCACAAGCAATAAAATTTGTATGTCATCTGTGTTTCGGAACTGATTACCAGCGTGCCAGCCAGCGTTTTCATGTTCGGTGTTGGAAGTCATTTTTTGGCAAGAATCATAATAACACAGTGCCCATCTGTTATTAACAAAGACCTAATATGATTACAAAAACTAAAGCAACACTATTATTTTGTCAGTCGCCTACTTTGTCTGAAAATGACCCCCCTTGTAGAGTAAAAGTCTTTATGTTTCATGTTTTTATTCTGTATAACCCCTTCCAGCCACATACTGTTCTGACATTCCCTTTTTGTAGCGTTATGAGTGGATTGAAAAGCACTTTAGGGTAAAATGGGGGGGGAAACAAATCAACTCTCACGTTCTCCGTGTGGCCTTTAAGGTGCGAGGAATAAAGGGGTATTTGTATTAATCGATCACACACCAAGCTTGGTTGAAGCCTGGCCCTAATGGCTGCTTGCTGTCATTTTGCAATCCGCTTGTAAAAAGGATTAGAATGGCTCCGTGGAGTAAGAGTGCATGAACAGCAAACTTCTGTGGCCAGCAAGGAAAATAAATCAATTTATGCTTGATGGCGGTGCAGTTCGGGAACATAATGTCTAACGATGATGGAGTTTGGACACTTCATACTTGTCATTGTAAAATTGGATCGCCGTGTTGCTAATGATGGTAATGTATGTTGTGCCTCGCCTGCTACAGTAATCCTTCACTCTGTCTCACTTAAATGCATCTCATTGTCTGGCATATTGCATTATGAATACCAACAGGAAAGAAAGAGAGAAGAATTCAATTTCTATAGTCATTCATTTGAGCAGTGAGTTAATGGAAAAACTGGGTAACCACATAAATTTCTTCTTCTTCTTTGTCACAGGCGATTGTAACTTCGAGAAGCCGCTGGCAGCGTGTGGATACAGCCAAGGCCGAGACGATGACCTTGACTGGGAGCAGGTCAATACCAGAGAGAAGACTTCATCAGAACCATGGATGCCCTCAGGTTAGAACGGTGACTCAGGCTAAATTATGAAGAGACGATCGCAGCAGAACACAGAATTAAAAAATTGCAATAGGCTGCACATTTATGTGTAATATGTAAGTGCGATAAATCCTAAACTTTGTTTGAACGAAAATTTCTTACTACCGTAACGAGAAATTGCATTTCCTGCAAAAATGCAGTGTGAATGCTTATTGCAGAAGAACTTGCTGAAAAACAGCTGAAATTAGCTAAAAAAAAAAAAAGAGATGAAATGCAACTAAATAGAAGAACAAGCCAAAGTTAGCAGAAGAAAGCAGAAAGAACACATAGTTGCTGAACTATGTTTAAATAAGCAGAAATGAACACAAAAATTAGGGATATAGATAAAAAAAAATCAGAAATGAGCAAAAAATAAAGCTGAAAAGTTATTAAAAAAAAAGCTTAAACTACAAGAATGAAGCAAAAGCTGCAATAAGCTTGAAAAATGTGGATTTAGCCTAAAAAAGGTAAAAATTTGCATTAAACAGTTAAGTAGTTGCTGAACTAGCAGAAAAAGCTGAAAGTAGCAAAAATAAGTTAATTAGGCTGAAAATCGCAGGGATTATCATGAAAAACTTGAATTAGTCTGAAAATAGCTGAAATTAGTTAAAAAATGCTAAAAAGGTAGCTGAAAATGTAGAACAAGTTTAAACTAGTAGAGGAAAGCAGAAAGAACACGTTTGCCCAATTAGGCTGAATGTAGCATAAATGAGCACAAAACAGCAGAAATTATCTGAAAAAAGCTTAAATTAGCAAAACAACAACAACAAACAGCTGAATAGTAGCTAACAAAGCAGAAAGAAGCTTAAATTACCAGAAGGAAGTGGAGAGAGCACATTTTTGCTGAATAAGGCAGAAAAAAGTTGAAATGAGTGCAAAAAAATTTTATTTTGCTGAAAAAGCTCAAACTAGCATAAAACAGCTAAATACTGTAGAAGCTGAAATAACTGAAATTAACAGAAATAAGCTAAAAGGAGCATAACAAGCTGAAAAAAACAGCTGAAATGAGTTGAAAGTAGCTGAAAAAAAGTTAAAATTTGCACAAGGAAGCTGAAAGAATCTGAACCAGAACAAAATGTGAAAGGAGCAGTAAAATGTTGCAAACAGATCTAAAGATATGAAGGATGTAAAAGGAGCACATTTCATTTTCTACGAGGAAAAAAAGTGGCAGAAAAGGCTAAATATTTCAAAAAGCTAAAGCCAGTACCAAAAGTCATAGCAGGATCGTCCTGAAAGAGCTGAACTTTTGATACATGATTTGTTGAAATAGCTTAAAAACTGTGGGACAAGCATCTTGCTGAAATATGTATGGAAGATAAATGGATCACAATAGTGTGAATGCTTCATAATCGTTCACACAATAAGCTTCTTGTGCATCGAAGCTTGATGGCAAATCGTGTCCAAATTAGGAATCTACGAAGATGTTCTTAATTACAGTAAGTGTAAAGAACATGAGAGAGGATCAGCTGCTGGTGATGTCCACCATAAATCAGAGTGGGGTTTTAAAAACCTAAAACAGGCTTTGCTAAAACATGTTTACATTTGTATCTTATCATTTTCCCATTGATACAACTAATCTGACGGCACGTTCAATTACTCTTTTTTAAAATCTTGTTTTATCTTCAGACTGACGTTTATCTCAAAGTGGCTGTTTTAATCAGCTGATTCATGTATTCGTGCAAGATGTTTTTTCTACTCAGGGTCTGACTATAATCTGAAATTATTGTACAAAGCTTTGATGTGAAAGACTAATGAATATTGATTACAGCCTAATATGCTGGTAATGCAGCACTGATTCATCTAGTGAGCACATAAAAACAAAATATATTTTAATTTACCTTTTTAGAACATCAATACTAATTTTTTGTTAGTTGCCTGCTGCTGAAAGTCTGAACGTTACTTGTTGCATAACATCTTTGCACCAACTGTTGGAGTCAACTGTTAGCAATACACCTCATTATTGAAACTTTCAAAAAGTAATAACTAAATATGTATTCACAACTGATTAACTTTTGGAGTCAGTCCAGGTCAAAATGGCAACAACAACATATTTTGGGCTAAAATTTGAAGTGGGGGTACCTGAGAGTGATTCACTTCATGCACTCTAAGTAGCATCCATCCATCCATCCATCCATCCATCCATCCATCCATCCATCCATCCATATATCCATTTTACCCACTTTTTCCTTTTTGGATCACGGGGGTCACTAGTGCCCATGTCTAACTATGACTGTGTGAGAGGTGGGGGACACCCTGGACAGGTCTCCAGTCCATCATAGGGACACATAGAGACAAACAACCATTCACTGTCTCACTCACACCTAGAGACAGTGACGAATCAGCCTAACATGCATGTTTTTGATCTGTGGGAGGAAACCGTAGTACTCGGAGAAAACCCACGCATGCATGGAGAGAACATGCAGACTCCACCCAAAAGGATTTGAACCGACAACCTTCTCACTGAGAGGCAGCAGCTCTACCAACTGTGCCACCTTGCTACCTACCACTCTAAGTAGCAATATCACAAAAAAAAAAAAAAGTTTCCAAATTGGATTTAAAATAATTTTATTGGATGCAAATTACAAAGGAAAAAAAACAACAATTTTGTTTAAATTAGTTAGAAATAAGGAAAGTTAAGAGGAATAAAAACGACACAATGCCTGGATCAGATCATTTTTGATTCTTGGGGCTTCAGAAACCATTTTTGGGTCAACAAATTGTCGTGAAAGTTGCTCAGAATGTAAAGTTCTTAATTCCTACACCAAAGTCCATGCTCAATAATCCAGGTATAAAATCCAACAATGTTCAGTCAGGTCATCTGGACAGTTTGTTTTTGTTGTGCTGAAATGTTTTGCCGTCCATCCAGAAAGCTTCATCAGTCTGAGGAAACACCAAACAAAACTGATATTCCCCCAACAGCCTAATCCAAACTGGGAAAAAAACTTCTTAATTCCTACTTTCCTTTAAATGAATCCTATACGTCTGATGTGTGACTTTTGACTGCTGGAATCTGAGCCAAATGTTTGAACTCACTTGTCCAGTCATCTTGGATTGAGAAATACCTACTCACATCTCGCGGTATTGCATGAGATGGATAGAATATGTTCAACGTTTGACCAAAACTGCTGTAATTCCACCATTTTGCAACATGATCTCAGTCTAAAACCAAACCATGGAAAGCGGTGGTCGATATACGCATTCCTTCAAAGAACAAACAAGTTATTTATTTCTTGTTTTATGTTATTTCGTTGCAGCTTCTGTCCACAGTGTCTGTGGCACAGCCATATGAACTGATATTTGATATCAAAGTCTATTTTAGTTGAATGTGTGCATCTGTCTGCTGCATACAGCTTGTCTCCTAAATGTTCCATTGATCGTTATTCATTAGATTTTAAAATGTGGAGATATCTCTGCCACTGAGCGGTGGGCACCACCTCAGGAATTAGACTAATGGAATGACATTTCTTTGTTTTTTTTCCACATTACAACAAAGGTAGCATTGCAAGCTAATGGATATTGTTTTTCCTCCCCTATCTGATGCCTAATCTAACAAAGGCAGCATCGCAGATAGATTGCATTGGGCCCCCCAGTGACAGAGGGGGAATTAATTAGCAGGACCTCACTAATTTAAAGCAGCCTGCGCCCAGACCTGTTTGTGTGTATATTTGTACATCAGGTTGTTGTGTGTTAAACTGCCCCGGAGAAATTACTTTACACAGTAGAGGAAGTGTCCCCCTCCCTTTTTTTCCCCATTGCAATTGATTAATGTCGGGACACATGAAGGCTAGGCAAAGGTTACAATAAAATCTGGAAAAGCCTTGACCTACAAATTAACACTGCGTGCACGGTCTAAATTTAACAGATCTAATTAAAATCCCATATCTGGTGAGGAGGTGTCCCTGATTGTGCTTCCCAGGCTGAGTACACTCCAGTAAGGCATGTTTTCTGCATGTGCATCTTCAACTTTGCATAATTAGCAGGTTTTGCAGCCTTTTCTTCACATTGCAGCACGAGCACTCAACCCACTGTGCAAAATTGTAATCTCTCCTCTTTGACCGCACTGAAAGGGATGTGAAATGTAATGTACTTGACAGGTAAAATTGTTTTACTGATACTAGAGTGGAGGGGCTGATGGGTAAAAATGCATTTAGGTAAAAGCCACACTGGTGGAAAAGCTATCTCACCTCTGATTGCTGTCTTACTCTCAACTCACACTTATGAATCCTCACAAAATGACCTTATCATACTCGCTCAAAAGATTGTTATCCAACCTGGTGTGGCAGGATGGAAATGAAATTGATGTGGCGATGCTCAGAGCAGCGAACAGAAGGCATTACTGCCTGGAGCACCTTTAAAATAGGTTATAGACAGTATCTGTCTAAATAGCAGTGTTCTCAATGTCACTCTGAATGGATGACTTAAATGATGCTTTAAGTCTTCCTTGTCTCAGCTAAGTTCTCCGAGCAAATAAAATCTCCCTAGAGGTTTTGAATGTCCACCGCTCATGTAAACTCCCAATGTGAGCTTCCTTTAGAACCGTGAATGATTGTGCACTTGGTCTAAGTTCAAGTTTATTTCCTCCTTCCAGTGCCAGAATAAAAAAGTGGAGTGCTCTAAAGCAGAAAATAAAGGTGTGATGTTAAAAGTGGGGTAATATGTTTGACTATTTCTGCTGTCAGAGCCTTGGATTTTATGTTCAGCTTCTATGAACCATAATCACAACGTTCCCTGGACTGCCAAAAGCCTTACGCATTTCTTAGTCTAAGTTTAGCCACACTTTAACGTTTTATTGCTATTAACTCAAATCGTTTCTTACTGGTGGTATGTTTTTTAATGCTAATCCCACAAGTGTTTATATTCTAGAAGTTTCATTAAGGTTGTCCAGCGGTTCATGAGATATTTTGCTAACGGACAGGATTGACGTCAGCTGTTTATGCCAATGATTGAAACACAATTTGATGTGATATTTTAGCACGTGGTGT